ACTTCAGCTGCACTGTCAGTGTGTTTGATAAGATTCTGAGCCGAGGGACCGCAGTAGAGTCACTGATTCTTGAGGATTTTTATTTAGCTGCAGCTGCTTGAGTAGTTTTTTTTTTCTCTCGAGAATGGACATTTGGTCAGATTACTCTCTCATATGGTTGTGTTCTCAGTTTTATTTCATTTTAACAGTCTTTCCTGATCAGTACTCCAGATCTTTTAGTTGCTTCTGTTTTAGTAGAATTTGCTACAAGTCCATGTTTAAAGGAATAGTTCACCCAAAAATGAAAATTTGCAGAAAAAGTAACTTAGGCCATCCAAGATGTAGATCCTTTTTTCCTCACTGGAACAGATTTGGAGAAATTTTGCATTACATCACTTACTCACCAATGGATCCTCTGCAGTTAATGGGTGCCGTCAGAATAAGAGTCCAAACAGCTGATTAAAACATCATGATAATCCACAAGAAATCCACACGACTCCAGTCAATCAATCAATATCTTGTGAAGCAATAAGCTGTGTGTTTGTAAGAAACAAATCCATCATGAAGCCATTTTAACTTAGCTTCTGACCAAAATACTAGTCTATAATACATAGTTCATTCCTCCAGTGAAAAAGTCCATCCCCTGTTGTTCTCTCACATCAAATTCCACCAACATATTTGTTTTCATTTTTAAACAGAACTTGATCTGTGCATATTTCACTTCGAATTCAGATAAGGCGACTTTTTCAGTGGAGAAAGCAGTAGGACTTAATGTCTCAACAGTTTGAAATGAAAAACATCTTGATGGATTTGTTTATTACAAACATGAAGCTTTTTTTGCTTCACAAGATGTTAACTGATGGACAGTTGTTTGCTAGTAAGCAACTGGCCTTGGATGTTTTATTCAAGTGTAAATGGTCCATCAGATGTAAATACTGTCTATTATGAACTGTACTCAGCTTCCTGTGTCAAATAAATATAAGGAAATGCTGACATCGCTGAAGCATTAGTGTTACTTTGAGTTTGAACACTGGTAAGTATTTTGTCCGTTTGGGCTGGGGAGTAAAATAACTTCACTTTCACATACACTTGATATGCTCTGCAGTTGGTAAGACTGCATTAGGGCTAAAAATAAACCAGCTTTCCAAAGGCAAGCACATCCACCATTATATATAAACATATGTTGACATAGGGTGTGTATATATATATATATGTGATATTCCGAGTGTGTTATCAGTGCAGGAAGATAAACCTGTGAGTTTACAATATGACAATGTCTCAAAAAGGAGAAAAAATAGTAGCTGACATGGATCTGAATGTGAAATACTGCAATAGTATACAATATTTTATTGCACTAAATTAGTGTAAAATATTGTAAAATCATGGCTTTTTATACAATAATATACCTGTTTTGTTTTTGTTTAAATAGTGATGTCTGTCCACATCCTATAATGCTAATGGAATCATAATATTGAACCATTAGAAATGGATTAATATCTGAAAATAACAGAATGGTTTCCTTTCATCATCTGCTTTTTTATTAGCCTATTTAGAGTGTTTTACTGAGTAATTAAAAACTCACAAACGGACGACAAAATCAGTCCCGCCCATCTGGTGTCAAGGAGACAGCTGTTACATCCCTTCTCTCCCGGGGAGCAGATAGAAGAGCTTGCTCTGTTATTTCAGACAACATCGATTAAAACACTATGGATACACAGCATGCAAATCGTTACAGTGACTCTCAATCAGGTGCCAGAAAGAATGAAAAATCTTTATAGCTAATGAAAGTGCAAATGAGGCATTTGGTTAATGATGGGGTGAGGACAATATTGATACGAAAATGAATTAAAGTAATGCGTGTTATGCTCTGAGACAATTGTTGCTTTAAAAATCAATTTTATTGAGATGCGGAATGCTGTGATTTTAAGAAGGAACTTTCTTTTTCCTATCTTCTCGCACACATTTACCTGATCCAGTGCCATTATTATGCTTGTGTATTGGTCTATTAATCACAGGCAAAGGAGCGTAGAGTCACAGATCTGTATGCTATATAAATATGCCCGGTATTGTATCGTCCCACTCTTTAGAACACACTGTATTAGCTGAATAAATTCCCAGGACCTCTAGTTGAAAATCCATATCTTGATGCTTGACAGTTTACACAGTGGAGAGTGTTACAGAGTCATACTTGCTTGAAGCTTTGCATTGTGCTCTTTTTAATGAGGCGTGAATGTGGCGTGAATAAATTGTTGTGTTTTCTATCAGGGTGCATAAAATGGGGTGGGGGATGAGGGGGGAGTGTGAGATGGATTAAACACATCAAGTGGATGATATCACTTAGGCTAAGCTGAATAGCTCCTTGTAGACAGAGAATTTCATACTGTGTTTGTAAAAAGGGTTTCTACGGGTCTTAAAAAGTCTTAATTTGCTCTTCCATAATTTAAGGCCTTAAAAAGGTCTTAAATAAGAGCAGAAAGTCTTAAATTCATGTTGTCCTAGCATTAAATGTTGCATGCATTGCAAAAAAATCATTATCTTCCTCAGTATATTTGTTTTCCAATACAAATATAAACAAATATTGAGATGCAAAAGGAAGAAATTAAGTATTGTTTTCTGAGAAATTGAATAAAATTGAGAAACAACAACAACAAATATGCCTTTGAATTAAGTAGATTTTTCTGAGCTCATTGGCACATATTTGTTCTTGTTTTAATTTTAAACTGACTTCATTTTGATTAATTTCTGAGAAAACGTATTATCTTATGTCATTTTGCTTCTAAATTAAATTGATCTTGATTTAAGAATGTTTTTGAGCTGGAAAAATTAGACAAAAATAATTACTTCAGTAAAAGTTATTTCCATATTCTAGTGTTTGAGGTATTCAAGCCTTCATTTTTTGGGGGGGGTAAATTAAATTAAAAATGGAGATAGGAAGTTGTTTGTTCAAACTTTGAAGTGTTGCTAGTACACCTCATTGTATACTCCCCATACATTTACTTTTAGATAACATATTGACATTCCCTTCAATTTATTCCTTAAATTTCCTTTACTTGGTTTTAAAAAGGTCTTACCTTCAAAAAACCTGCAGAAAGCAGACTATATCACATATCAAAACTGCTGTCTCCCAGATAGCATTTTTCTCCATCTGCCAACAGTTCATCTGCTGTGCCTCTCTTGACTGCACAAACATTTTGAATAAGTAAAGTTAGGCTCTGGTTTCACTGCGGTTTGATAGCAGGGGTGCGTAAGGTCACCCCAGGGTTGGTCTAAAGGGAAAACCTCTTCATGTTACATAACAAGAGCAATAAACATAGTATAAAAGAATAAGAAACAACATCTGACTCATTCTAAATGTGTAATTGTAGATTATGTTTTTGAAGGCTTAATTGATTGTACATTTTGCCTAATAGCAGTTACTAATAGCCAAATGGCTGTGTGTTAGAGGCATAGAAAGTCACGCACAGCCTGAGGGCAATACAGGATGCACAAAACTAAAATGTTAAAGGGGAACAAGTGTTTGATTATGCGGTGACTTGTTTTATGCATTTCATACTATGATGAAACACCTTGATATGAATTGTACCAGATGCCATGGTTGAAAAGGAACTTACGCTGCTTTTTAGCTGGATCAGTGTTCTGTTTGAAAACCCATGCAATGCCAAATGAAGATTTAATAGCCTGTGCAATTACTAAGTCTAATTAGCAGCCAGTGAGTTAAGACGCTGTAAATTTCAGGATTGTTTCCACTGATTCATTGGTGCTGATGAGGCTTGCATCAACACAATGTGGTTGGACAGATGGAAGAACCTAAAGGGACAATAGGCCTTATAAACTACGAATAGGCTGCAAGCTTTCTTTATGTCAAATTATTTTATTTTTTAGTATGTCTGCATGTAAAGAAACTGTTTTGGACTGGCTATGCAGTGATTCAGTGTTCAAAGTGTATTCGATATTTGTCATTTTAGTGTTCTGTAAATCTAGAAGCAACTGTTTTGGTATTTAGAGAAGGCTCCATGCTGCAAGTTTTAAAAGCATCAACTCAAATGCATTGAATTAGTTCATATTTAAAGCATCAATCAAGTAGCCATATCAGAGAAATACAATATGCAATGGTTTGCATTGTCATAATCCGTGCAAAAGGCAGTGTAAATGGGAATGAATGGTATGTTGAAGGACATTTTACAGTGGGACAAACCAGTTAGTCCGGCTATTTGCATTGATTGAATCCTATGTACTGAATTATTTGTCATCAGTGTGTTGTAATATTTCTCTAGTAATGTTGAATTGTATATAATTTACATATAATCTCATATCATAATGTAATTTCTGTAAATAATTTTGGAAGAATACAGTTTAAGGTTCGTCTGACTCAACTCAAACTGCTTTGCCGCCATTAGCTGAGAGGTAAGATGGCTTTTCATACAACTGTTTTAAACAAGCAAAACATATTTTTTTATGATGTTCTAGAAATAAGGAAAACTATATAGCGCCCCGTTATGACCGTAAGTAGATTTTTAATGAATGAAAACGGAAAGCTCACATGACATACATGATTGCCGCGTCAGGTAAATAAATGAAAATACTTTTGTGCAGTCGAACTTTTGTGGTCTCTTAAACGCTTGAAAACAATATTGAACGTTCTATATGGTATCTCTAGAATTAATACTGAGTTAAAACGTCCTAAGACATACTTCTGTGGTGTTTAAGCCTTTAAATAGAAGCGGTCAAAACCCTAATTCGCACCCTCATTGAAAGCATCAATCATGTAGCCTAATCAGTGCCATAGTATACAATGGTTTTCATTATTTTGATAATCAGCGCAGATGGCAGTGTAATGGAAACTGATGGTATGTTAAAGTACATTTAGAGTGTCTAATAAGATGTAGTAACTAAAAGGAATATCTAATGCAATTAAACCGAGGCTTCTGTATAGAGAGCAGTGCACTATATGCGCTGAGGAAGCGGATCGCCTGTAAAGCGGCACTGCGGCAGTACTGTATCAATGCGCCCGGTCCCCGCTCGCTTCGGGTTCCTGAAGCACGGACTCGCGGAGAGGAGTAGTGTCGCTTCCTTGCCGGATTTATTTGTTTGTGGAAAAATTCTCTTTTGTTTTCCGTTCTAGAGCAGCGCGCTTTCCGAATGCCGACGACTCGCTCGGACGGCCCTCCTCCACTCGCCAGGCTTTGCATGTGCTGCTTTTGTCCTGCAGGAGAGAAGGCAGGCTTTGTGTTTTGGTGGATCTAGAGCTGAAGGAGGCACTGCCAGGCGCTGCTGCCGCTGCTGCTGCTGCTGTGGGTTGGACCGGCCACGGTGCGTGAGATTTACTGACGGAGAGAAAGAGAGAGAGAGAGAGAGACAAAAAGGACTCACGGAAGACAGCGAGAGTGAAGGGAGGACTGGCAGGGAGTGTAAATACATTAAAACCATTTATATATTTGGGGTGTGTGTGCGTGCGCGCGCGTGTGTGACAGGAGTGCCAGCACAGGGCATCATCAGGTTAAAAGGGATATGTGGTTGGAAATGGCTTTGTAATAATAGCCCACCTGGACCATTGGTCATTGCTATTGGTAAAATGTTTCTGGAATGCATAATGTATTCGAAAAAGTCAGATTGCAATGCTGATATTCAGTGGTTTGGTAGTGGTGGATTTTGAAGGCAGGTGAAGGTTGGTGGCTTGTGAAGTTTAAGTTGATGGGTGTCTATGATGTCATACTGTAGCTGCTGATGTCATCTTGTGAAGTTCACGTTAACGCTTGATTATGATGTCAGTGTATTAACTTCACTAGATAACATACACTTACAATTATGGCTAGTTGTGATATAATGTCTTATGTCATCAGATTAAGTTGATGCTTGATTATGATGTCATAATGTAGTTGTGGATTTGGTAAAGCTGATTGACTATGATGTCATTGTTGCTACTGTAAATGTTCATGCTATCTTGTAAAGTTTACATTTTTGGCTGATTGTCATCCTAATGTAGGTGTTCATGGCATCTAGTGATGGTTAAGTTGATGCTTGATAATGATGTCAGTGATTTAGTGAAGTTGATGGATGATTATGATATGTCATAATGTACATGCTGTGTATGTTTGTGTGATATAGTTTGAAGCTGAGAGCAGATTATGATGTCATAGTGTAGCTACTAAAGATGTTCATGTCATTTGGTGAGTTTGAAGATTGATGATCATGATGTCATAATGCAGCTATTGTAGATGTTCAGGTCACAGATTTTTGTCATATATTTGAATTTCAGTCACAGACTGGAGATGATTCTGCTAAAAACTTAAGCACACTTGACAGAATTAATGACAGAATTATTTATTATTTTGAGCAATGCCATTGTTTTATTTTGAGATTAATGAAAAATAATGCCTAGCATGAATAATTTCAGCTGATGTTAGTAATTGCTATTCAGATAAAACACCTCTTTGACAACTCAGAGTGTGGCAAATTTAGCAAGTTGTAGTGAAGGTTTTCAGGGTTTTATCTATAGCTTGGTGACATTGAGAAATGAACAGAGGAGCCCTGAGTAGAGATTATCAGTAGAGTGCAGAATGATTGTGGCTGTTTTTGTGTTAAGTACATAGATGTAACTGTATACAGAAGATGACTGGAAGTCAGCCATAAATGTTCTGTCAGTGTAATCAGCTGAACTAAAATTTGCTGTGAGAAAATGACATTTTTTCCCTTGATCCACAGCTCTGTTAAGAAAAATGAATAATTTCCCCCCTCCTGTCTCCGGTTATAGCAGTCTCAGAATAATGACAGTGTGCAGGAGGAGAAATATAAGCTCTTGAATATGTAATACTGGAGATCTAGACCCAGCTCTGTAAATGGCTCATTATGTGATGTATTTAATCTGCAAGAACACATTCTGAATAATTTTGTTTTCTTTCAAGAAACTGTAAAATCTGGGAAGAATGGAATGTGAAAGTGACTGTAGTCATTGTGGAATTAGATCAAAAGGAAGGCATCTTAAGTGAAAATCGCTTTATTCATATGCCTGCATGCATGATATATTCCTATTTATAGCTAAGGGTGGGGATTCTGGGAAGGCTCTCTGAGAGAACATTTAAAAATTGTCTGATCTCTGTCTCTTTGACTTGTAGGATGGGAAGGAGTCTGCACTTAAACAGAGTGTTGGGTCCATGAGGACAGCCATGCGGAGACCTGCTACAGCTCTGTTAGAAGACGCTTCAAGTGATCTGCCAGTTTGTTTCCCTTAAACGTGGGCTGAATTTGGACGTTTGGATACTTTCCAGCTTGGCAACCCTTAACAGGATTCGATTTCGGATTTCTGTGCTTGAGGATATATGCATTTATCCTTCTGGAATCTCATGTGCGTATTGCACTCCAAGCAAAGTCGCATGACATCAGCTGGTTTTGGAATTTGGATAATTGCACATCTCTCACTGGAGTACAGTTTTTGAGCTTTCCATTACAGGTGTTTGTTGGGAATCGTTCTGCATCCACCTCTGAGCACGGGCCAAGAGCCTCCAAACAGGAAGTGTTCGGTTGGGTGTGTCGTCTGGTGAAATGGATGGGCCACAGAAAAAGCGGAAGTCTCGGTCGGTGCGAGACCGGGAGCGCGTGTCTAACGGGATCAGGAATAACCATGTCCGCGGCTCCATGCTTCGATTCTCCTCGGATTCAGAGAAGGAAGACCGCACCAACCCCTCCTCTTCCTCACGACCCAGGCCACCGAGGAGGAAGAGAAAGGAGTCTACCTCTGCTGAGGAGGACATCATTGACGGATTCTCAATATCGGGATTTATGACGCTGGAAGCTCTTGAGGTAAGAGACTTGTACTGCAGCCTTTGCTTGAATGTGTTTTTAACTGCTGTTTTTTGGAAGTGCTTGTTTGGTTTGGCTGTGAAAAGCTCAGTGGCGGCATAATGACTGGTTTATTATTGTCTGTAGACTGCTTCTTTCTGGACTCTAATTGCCTGGGTCTGTTTTGCACAGTATTGAATTTTCTGTTGTTCCTCAGTGAGTGTGTTTGTGATTCAAGTAGATGTGGCTTTTTAAGTCATTTTCCTGCCAAAGATGTAAAGTGTGTCCAAATTAGCTTGATTGCTTTTGTAGTATACATTCATACTTAAAATTCCAACATGAAGTGCACTTCATATACCCGGATGATGCACTTATTTTATTGAAAAAAGAAAAAGAAAAGAAAATGTAGAAGAATAAAAGGGGGATCGGACTCTGATATTGGATGAGACAATAACCATGTAAAATTGATGCGCTAGACATTTGAGTGTCTGTCTAGTGTGCCATTTGGGAGACAGCCACAACTGTGGATGTCCGCTGTGATGTTGTACTTCTTTAAGATGCTGTTTTGAGAGATTAACAAAGTTGTTTTAGATTGAGTTTGATGCCTGAATACTAAGAGTCTAATATAAATATACAGAAATCATCATATGTAGAAATTATGTCATAATGTAGCTGCTGAAGATGTTCATGTCATCTGGTGAAGCTGAAGATGGATGATCATTATGGCATAATGTAACTACTGTAGATGTTCAGGTTACAGATTTCCATCATGTATTTAGATTTTAGTCACAGAATTTTGGTAAGAAAGATAATTCTGCTGAAAAGCTTCATTAATTTAAAAAACAACTTAAACACACAACTTGAACAAAGCCTTGTATCATTTTGTGATGAAAAAAAGAAAAGAAAAATAATACCTGCAGTAGAAAGAATAATTTCAGCTGATCTAAGTTTAAAGTTTAACTGTACTTCTATTAGGGGTATAAGAAAATATCGATGCACATGAGTATCGCGATATTTTGTTTGGCGATACTGTATCGATTCTCAAAAACGGAATATCGTTTGAGAATGTTTAACATCTGTATTTATTTTATTGTTTTAAAATTGTTTTGCTTTCTTTAGCAATCCTGCAAGCACTTTATTTTTCATTAATATTAAGCAGATGTAATTCTTTACATCAAAATGTTATGACATTGTATGTTATAATTGTAAACTTAAAATGTGAACCTTTAAAGCAGGGGCTAAAAAAATATATGTTCTTTTTATAAAATACAATTTTATACATTTAACATTTAACTTGAATTTTTTCCCCTTGACTCGTACTGCACAAAAAGTGGTTCAATAACGATGAATGTTACAGGGACTGATTATTGCAAATGCAGATCCCACTGTGTTCTGGTTAAATAATTATTTATTTATTGCTAAGGTTTGCAAAATGGTGGTGTGTTCTTTATGACAGCTTTCCTAAAAATATATCCAATTCCTAAAATAAGAAATATCCCAATATATCGCCTTGCTTACAGTATTGCAACATATCGTATCGCAACCCCTGTACCGTGATATGTATCGTATCGCCAGATTCTTGCCAATACACAGCCCTAACTTCTATAGAAATGTTTTTCAATATTTCAATGTTATCATTTAATTTTTTAATTAATCATATTTTGTAAATAAAAACTAAACTAAATATATAAATAAAAAAGATTGGGCATGCAGGTGTATTCACAATTTAGTTTTTTTTTTTTTGCCGTCTTTCACTGTTACTTCCATATTGTGTTTCTGACTTTGATGTGTCATATCGTAGGTGCTTCCCAGGAGCACTTGTCAGCAGCATTGGCCTTCACCATTGTTTCATTTGTCAGTCTTGACAGGACATCTGTAGAGTGCCATCCTGACTTTCAGCGTCGCTCTTGCTGTTAAAAGCCCAACAGTGTGACACGACGAAGCTTTGCACGCTTTACCCTCACATCCCCTACAGATGCTGTTGCATTGTGTTGCATGTTCACTACAGTAATCTGTGAAAGGAGCCCGTCAGCAGCTTACGCTGTCACGCTAGCGCTGTGAACCGCAGGCGCAGTTCTCCAGGGGTGACATCCAATTCACCGATTCATTCTTTACTGTTCTGGGATCTGTGACTCATAGCCATCCTCTTCATGCTCTGTCGTTTTGCTTCATTTAGAACCTCACAGAGCAGGAGATCCTAGTCTAGATCCTGCATGTCAACGATCAGCTTCATTCTCATTCATGCAGCTGAGATGATCATGGGACTTAATGAGCCAGTGGAACTAGACAAATCAAACGTACAGTATGTTGGCCTATTCTATAACATAAAGTCTTTTAATAAATTACTATTATAATGCTGTAATCATAAAAAAGAGTATTATTACTGTTTGTTGCAGCTTTTGTTTTAGTTGTGTTTCTTGTTTAGTTTTAGTTGTGTTTTTTGTTTTGTTTTGTTTGTAGTTTTGTGTTTTAGTTTAGTTTGTTGTGGTGTTTTGTTTTGTTTTAGTTGTGTTGTGTTTTTTTTGCCATTATTTTTAAAAGGTTTGGAAATAATGAGGAAGATAATGAAACTAGATGGGGAAATAACAAAAGCTGGAATCGCATTTTCTGCATAAACACCAGAGGTAAACACATCAGCACAAATCACTATGCCACAGCTCCAATTTTATTGCATTTATTTTTTTCACATGAATCTATATCCATTTTGGACTGATTGTTTGCTGTTGTGATTTTGGCCCATAAATGTAGCAGTTAGGGATGCACGATATTATATCAGAATCAACCGATAATGGCTTTAAATGGAAATATCGGCATCGGCCTGATATGAAAAATTACAGCGATATGTCTTTCTGATAAGAGGAGTGCATTAACTCACATGTGCTCAGGGTGTGCTAGCGATTAGCTCATGTCAAGTCAACAGTGAGATTAGATCACATCAGCAGTGTGGCTCATTCTTGAAGAAGTTTTGCCTGAATGATGATTGGATTCACTGTTTTGGATCGCTACATTTAAACTGAGAATTCACATACAGAATGATGCGTTCGGTGTATGATAGAGTAAAACACATCAGCACAAATCACTATGCCACAGCTCCAATTTTATTGCATTTATTTTTTTCACATGAATCTATATCCATTTTGGACTGATTGTTTGCTGTTGTGATTTTGGCCCATAAATGTAGCAGTTAGGGATGCACGATATTATATCAGAATCAACCGATAATGGCTTTAAATGGAAATATCGGCATCGGCCTGATATGAAAAATTACAGCGATATGTCTTTCTGATAAGAGGAGTACATTAACTCACATGTGCTCAGGGTGTGCTAGCGATTAGCTCATGTCAAGTCAACAGTGAGATTAGATCACATCAGCAGTGTGGCTCATTCTTGAAGAAGTTTTGCCTGAATGATGATTGGATTCACTGTTTTGGATCGCTACATTTAAACTGAGAATTCACATACAGAATGATGCGCTCGGTGTATGATAGAGTAAACAGTAGGGCTGCACGATAAATCGCATTCGATATTTAATGCGCATCTTGTCAGAAAGCTGGTTCTGTAATCAGCGGTAAATCTCCATCACGTGCGTGCTTTCACATTGAGCAGCATTAAATACACAGAGCCGTTGTTCACTGACGAGCTGCGCAAAAATCGCTCGAATATGAATGTGGTTTTGCGCATTAAATATCGCATGTGATTTATCGTGCAGCTCTAGTAAACAGTAATAGCATGTGCAGCGGCAGCCTCACCCAGGTCCTAATGCCCGATCAGTAAGGAGTTTTAATTCCGTAGGGGGCGCTGTTGGCCTACTTCTAATAAAATAAAAGCAAAATACACAAATAATATTTAGACTGTTTATAAAGCAGTAATTGATGCCATAAAATCATGAGTATGTTTTGATTTAAAGGTCAGAAGGTATAGTTTACATGAAAAAAAAAATCACAAACATGACGCTTAAATTAAAAATTTTTATATATACTGATTTATTCATTAATGTGTAATATGTTGTATTTTTTAAACAAATTATGAGCTCTAAAAGATTTTCAGAATTTTTACAACTCTTTTGCTGTAGACCATTTACAAAGGTTACCACTGCATCTATCTGAAAAAAAATGCAGCATTTGATTATAGTTTATTTATAGTTATTTTCAAATGTTCAATGCATTATAAACGAACTTCATTAATCACGAGTATGTTTTGATTTAAAGGTCAGAAGCTATAGCTTACATGAATAAAAAAAATCACAAACATGATGCTTGTAAATTAAATAATTTTATATATACTGATTTATTCATTAATGTGTAATATGTTGTATTTTTTAAACAAATTATGAGCTCTAAAAGATTTTCAGAATTTTTACAACTCTTTTGCTGTAGACCATTTACAAAGGTTACCTCTGCATCTATCTGAAAAAAAATGCAGCATTTGATTATAGTTTATTTATAGTTATTTTCAAATGTTCAATGCATTATAAACGAACTTCATTATTGTTTTCTTTAAAAAGATTTCAGCGGGGCACTTACAATGGAAGTAAATGTGGTTCATTACTTTGTTGGACTTAGAAGCAAAAAAAAAAAAGCTTTTAATTTTTTTGTTTTTAAATGAAAACTTACATCAATTCTTCCATTTAAATTGAATTTTATTCGTTTTTTATCAATGATTCATTGGTCTTAGGGTTTTAATGGTTACGTTGTCATGATCATTTATTTTTACACTAAAATCATAACGTACATATTGTTTATGTCTCCTGGCTGTTCTATTGAATGTGTAGGCCTAAATATTTTAAAATAATACAAAACTGCCCCACTTATTTAACCTAGATTTTTCCTTCAAAGAAAAGTGTTGTTGATTGAGCTTAACTTGAACCTAGAATGTTCCATTAAGCTGAAGTGTATAAATAATCAGATAAATATATCTCCAAATTTCTTACTCGTAGTTGTCTCTACAAATTAAGCTGGGATAGCAGAAAGTGTGTTGACATCCCAAAAATGACAAATTCAGCTTTAAATAAATACTTCTCT